TAAAGTGTGAATCGATGGAAATTTTTCTAAATAGCACAATCAGCTTGTAACGCTCCAAAGAGAAAGGAAAACTTGAAATCGCATCATATGACCCCTTTAAAATACATTTTGCTGTATCTTTGCCCAACCCTGCTAATGCCTAGACCTACCAAAAAAAAACGAGTAGGAGTTTGTTAGGAGCTATTCACACTTTGACCACCAGATGGTACACTTGCTGTTGTGTACTGTAAAAACGGACACAAATAATGATATTTAGAAAAGCCTGAATTATATTGTTTAGAGCATCATGAAGCCCCGCAACAGTGAACATTTTGCATGTCTCCCTAATCAAAACATAATTCAACGCACCAGTTCATTAGCCTAGTAAAGAATCCAATAACCTGAAAGGTCAGATAAAGCGAAACATTTACAATGTGAACTGTTTTCTAGAACCAGGGTTGGACCTATCTATTATTTAAAGATTAAAAATATTGTATAATACATTTATTAAAATCGATTGTGAAATGATTTTTCTAAAAGTTGAAGGCTTATGTCAATAACTACATTAATGACTCTAGCTTAGCTGTATTGTGCATTCTTGCCACCTTCAATTTACCATTCAATACTCTAGTTTTAAATTATGTAAATATTGTTGTAACAACAAAATAAATTTTTTTAGGCCTATACTTAAGTATATACAAAAAGATCTTGAGTAGAGGAGTCTGAGTTATGCGTAAACTGTATCCCCATTGATATGTCAAATGTAGTGATGTGATTCTCATAATAAATTTAAAGGAAATATAGGGCAGGAAACATCATGTGCATATTATCCCTATTGTCAGATGATGCTTAGATATGTAAATTGTGAAATTTAGAAATACAATATTTTTCTTCTGAAACAAATGTTTATTTTATTACAATTCTTGCATGTACACAGAGATATTTTTGGAGATGGTTAAAATTATGATTTATGAATATTGTGAATTATGATAATTAAAAGTATTTTTAATTTACATTAAAAAAGCTTGCAGAAAATAAAGTTCTTAATCGTGAATTGAGTAAAATGTTATCTTTATTTCAAATATGTTTCAAGCCTCTCAATTTCTGGTAATTTATATTTTTTTATACTTTTTCTTTCACTTTCACTGTTTAGCATTTAAATTATACTGGTATGTTTGCTAAAACTGTTGGATTTTTCATAGAATATAACGACTGAATTCCTGCATCTCATTCTGATGCTCAGTGTGAAGTTTAAATAATAATGTAATTTAGAGAAGAGGGAAATCTTTGAAATCATGTAGATTTAAATCTAGTAAAATGGGTTAAGTGTGTACTACATGTGACTACACTTTTATTGGTAGCTGGAAGCATTAACATATTTACCAAAAGATCTAATAAACAAATCTGTGAAGGGCAGAGGATTTGTTGGACTAAATGGCTAAAGGTCTGGTCCATTTAGACTGTTTAGACTAGAGGCAGGTTAATGTGAAATGACTAGAGAGAGCGGGCAGTGTTAAAGGGGTCATATGATGCTATTTTAAGGATCATTCTTTTGTGTATTTGGTGTAACAGAATATGCTGACATGCTTTAATGTTAAAAAAATGTTTCAAATACTGTACATTATTGTAGGTCCTCTATGCCCCGCCTCTCTCAAACACGTCGTTTTCAACACAGTCCCCTCCTTTGACAAGCGCAGTGTGCTCTGATTGGCCAGCTGACCCAGTGCATTGTGATTGGCCGAACACCGCAAGCACTCGTCGGAAATGTAACGCCCCTTACCATAATCGCAGCTTCAGCTTTCAAAGTAAATATCAAGACAGTTAATAATGTCGTTAGTTTTACCATCAGTTCAAGCCCGAAAGGGCAACAGAGTCGCATGACAGACACAGTAATGATGCAGTACACAAGCCACGGTTAAGACAGCTGACACCACTTTGATGTGACGCTGTCTCTCTCTCTCTGTCTCTCTCTCTCTCACGC